AAGGGAAGAAGGTGAAGCAGGAGAGTCAAGAAAGGGCTGGTGCTTGAAGCTCCTAGAGACTGCCTCCTTCCTAGCATTCAGTATGGCCGCAGGGCCCTGGACTCAATCCCCAAGCAAAGCAGCAGCCTTGACTTAGGCCCTGTTTGGCTCTCTGTGCTGCTTTCTCCACTTGCCAACCTTTGGGGGCTGCCTGAGGAGAGAGGAGATTCTGCTGTCTTCATGCCAGGAAAGAGGCCAGCAATTCAGCTTTCATTCTCAGCTCCGCTTGGCCCACATCTCCCACCTGGATCTAGGTGGTCCCTGAACATGGCTCAGCAGGTGATCTGGAGAGGTGAGGGAGGGCATTGATGTCACCTTCTCAGCAGGCCTCCCACAGCCACACTATGGCAGGAAGTTCCAATTTGTTATTTTTTATTGTTGCACCTGGTTTATTTCCTATTTATAGGGCTTATCACAATGCATAACTAGTCATAAAGACTCATTCCTTTACTTGCTAGCTTGTTCTTGTTTGTCTCTTCCACTAGAGTGGAAGTTCCCTGAGGTCAGATGTACCTCTGTGTTCACTGCATATCTTGTATCTGGTAAGTGGTACACAGAATGCGCAGCAAACACCTACTGAATGGATGCAGTGCTGAATGGCCAGCTTGGTGAATGAGGAGTCCTGGCTGCCAATACTGACGGTTGAGTTGATGCTCAACAGTTCCAGGGTTCTGCTTAAGGAGCAGGAAGCAGGATGTAACAACATTGTTAGGAAGGCTGGGACCCCAAAAGAAAGGCTAGCCCCTCTCAGGCTTAGCATTTACACCAGGCCAATCTGGCACACTGTGTGTGTGTGAGAGAGAGAGAGAAAGAGAGAGAGTGTGTGTGTGTGTGTGTGTGTGTGTGTGTGTGCGCGTGCGCGTGCGTGCTCTGTGTGTGAGTACTAAATCCTGCCCAGACAGGTCTTGGAAGGCTTATGTTGTGTCCTGGTTCTTCCTAGTATTTTGTTTTCAACACTGAGAACTGAACCCAGGATCTTCACAACATGCTACATCCCCAGGCATTTTCCATTTTGAAAGCGAGTCTCATAGAGTTGCCCATACCAGGTTTAAAAATTTTGCTCCTTCTGCCTCAGCTTCCCAGAGGGCAGGGACTATAGGCATATGTCACCAATCCCAGATGATTCTTCTTAATAGCCCCGTGACTTTGGGCAAACTGCATACCTTTTGCAGGTCTGTTTCTTCAAACTAAAAAAATAATTCTTCAAACAAAAAATAGTTTGTACCAGAATCACCTAAGTGCATGTTAAAATCCAGATTCCTGGCTTAGTGTGGTGATGCAGGCCTATAATTCTAGTACTAGGAAACTGAGGCAGAATTAAAAGTTCAAAATTTAGTAACTTAGTGACACCCTATTTCAAACAACAGAAAGGAACTAGGGCTGTATGTAGTTCAGTGTGAAGTCCTAGATTCAATTCCCAGAGCACACGCATGTGCACACACACACACATACACACACACACACACACACACACACACACAAACAGAGGTTCCAGATTCTTAGGCAGTTTCTGAGTCAGAATAGGAAAAGAAATAGGCACTGAGGACGTTTGTAACACATTCCCTACATTACTCTGAAGCAAAAGGCCTAAGACCTGGCATTTAAGGACAATGTAGAAGAGGGTGCTTTCCAAATGAATATCGGGACTTCTATTAAAAAGCCACTGCTGCACAGATAGCCTCCCAAAACCCAGCTTATACACTCCCTACAGAGCCTTAAACTGCAAAGGTATACCCTAACCAGATGCTGCACATCTGTACTATATGTATCCATGCCACCAAAACACCCAACACAGAGCCACCAAATGGATCACAAATTGTCACAGATCTACCATAACATACACAGCCTGGCACAAACACTCAAGACACCCAGCACATACGCAGCACAAACACGTCACATGGAGACCCACACTAAACAGACGCTATCCTGAATTTATTTTGCCACTGGGAACTGGTCCAGGACCCAAGGAGTTATGCTCCGCTGATGAAAACATCCCTCCTGCCTCTGCTACTCCCACCCTTACCCCTGGCCCCCAGGCGGCCCACTGTCCACATCCCCCTGCTGTGGCTGACGCAGGCAGTAGAAAGAGATGGGACAAGAGGAGGCAGAGGCCAAGGCTAGTGACTCAAGCTGCTAGGAGCCCTCTCCAAAGTCCAGTACCCTCCTCTCTTCTCTTGCTCCCCAGGAGATGCCAGAGGGCCTCCAACCAACCCCCCAAGTCAGTGCCTGCTCAGGCCACTGGCCTGAATTCCCAGAACCTGGTCCTAGGGAGCCAGAAAAATTAAAAGGTGGCTAAATTTGGGGGCTCCTCTGAGGAAAGGGCTGTCAGAGGGTACCTTCCTGAAGCCCTAAGGCCTAGGTCCTCCAGGGAAGGTTTCCACAGAAACAGGGGAAAATATTATAAGGAAACACAATACCCGGCAGGGTCACCTGCTGACCAGGCTTCCTGCTGTGTTGCCCACCCCCATGTCATTGCCCTCACAGCCTCCTTCTCCAGCCTCAGCCCTGGACTCCTGGCCAGCACCCTCTTTCCTGCTTCCCCTGGGCGGGGGTGAGGGGAAAGCAGCCTCAAGCAGAAACTCAGCCCCCAAACGACATCAAGGATGGCCCAGAGCTGGGGCCCCCACTCCTAATCCCCGTCTCCCCTCATCCCCCCCACCACAGGAAATCAAGGTTTCCTGCCCCAGAGGAAGTGCCCATCTAGTGAACAAATCCAACACACACAAACACAGTCCTGGGAGCTTGGGCCTCCGTGGGACAGATGCCCTCCCCAGGCCCCAGGCCTTACCCAGGTCCTGCATCCAGCAATAACCCACACAGCACTGGAGGCCCCAGCCCACATGTGACTAAGGGCCAGGGCCAGGAGAATGGGTACTGCCAGAGGCACAAGGCCTAGTCCCAGCCCCACTTGAACTGCCATTCCCTGGCTGGGCAACCTGGCCTTGCATTAGCTCATCTCCTCTCAGGCCTCTGCCAACTTCAAAACTATCAGCTCTTAATGAAAGGCCAAGAGAAAGAAGACAAAGGGGAGGTGGAGCTACAGAGGCTTCTGTCTTCCAGGTCCTAGGCAAGTATGCTTACAGCTACAGGAGGGTCCCCCTTCTCCACTCCACCACATAGGAGTTTCCACTTGCCCAAGGGTTTTATATCAGAACTGAGAAAGCACCAACTCTGGTGACCAAAAGCCACCAAGAACTAAAGCTGAGGTCTGTTATCCTAAGTGAAGTGGAGGGACATAATCGTCCCCCACTAGACACTGACTTTTCTCTTTACAGCTAGCCCTTCTGGCTTTGCTTCTTGGGAAGTACACTTAGAATGTTCTTCTCACTTCAGCAATGGGGCAACTGAGCTTCAATGGCCATCTTAGAAAGACAACCTCTTCCCTGCCTCAGGATCCCAGGGTAAGCCCTGGTGGCCACAGACACTCACCAAGTAGCTGAACTAAGGGGCAGTAGCCTCAGGAAAAGATTACCCCCAACCATTCCAAGTACAACACTGAGCTTGGTGGGAGGGTAGTAAGGGCACGGATATCCTAGTGAATCCAGGACTTGGTCCAGTGTCACTTCACTGGGTAACACACAGTGAGACCTCTGGTTGCCTCAGTTTGCCTCAGCAGTGATTGCAGAGAACAAAAGTACCTAGTAACCAAGCTGGGAAAAGTGGACAGGGAAGTATTCGCAATGACAAGAAAAGAGCTGGTCTGCAGATTCCAGAGATGGACCAGTGAAGCTGTCCCGACTGTATCTGAAGGTAGAAGGCATGAGGAGGGAGGTATGCCTGGAAACAAATCTCTCCGGTGCTGCTGGGGAGAAACGGGTCACCAGTTACCCTCCTTAGAGGGTAGGAACCTGAGTCAGTCTCCTGCCTTCCAGCCCCGTGGCTGGACAGGGATCTGCATGAAGGTGCCTGTGGGTTCAAGTGCACATCTGCAGAACAGGCTGATAAGACCAGATAGATGCTGAGTTCGCCTCAGGGCTACTGAGCACCAATGCCCCGTTCTTTCCCCAGACACTGACAGGAGAGCTGGGTAGGCATCAGGTAGATGCCAAACAGGGGCATGGGAAGGCATGGCAAGATTCCCAACAGCCAGCAGGCCACAAAATGACTGAGAAGCAGCAGTCGCTGGCCCAAAAGGGCAGCCAGAGGGGAAAAGGTGGTGATGGAGGGCACTGGGTGCCCTGCAGGCCCAAAGGCTCTCTCCAACCTGCAGGCCTAGGAACTGAGGTCATGGGACGCCAGTCTAGTTGCCGGATTTGCCCTGCTCTGGCCACCACCATCAACAGACCCCGGGCCCAGAAGAGGGCACACATCCAGTTCCCCAGTCTTCTCTACACGGCCTGCAGTTCCCACCTCCCTGCGCCCCTACAGGCACAGCTCATTCGGGCACAGGTGTCTCCTGACCCTCAAGGGAGAGCAAGAGTCCCGGCGATGCTCACAGCCCCCGCCAGGGCACCGCTCACTGTCTCGGACGGACCGGGAGAGGGCCCCCGCTTCGCTGCTGACATCCAGCCCCGCACACCCGGCCCGACTCAGTGGGTCCTACCCTTTGCCCCCGCGCTTCTAAACCTCCTGTTCCCTAGCACCGCCCCCTCCCCAGGCTGCGGCGGGCGTCCCCGCTCCCCGGGGCCCCTTCTCGTCCGCGCTGGAACGGGGGTGATGGAACGCCGGGCCCTGCACTGCAGCCCGCGGCCTCCGACTCCCTCCCTCAGGCCTGTCGCTTCCCCGGAGCAGGCGGATGTGGGCGCCCCGCGGGAGGCCCGAGCCCTTCGGCCCCGGAACCCGCCCGGGCAGGGAGCGGGCCAGAGCCCCGCCAAGACACGCGGGGCGGACGCGGCCGGGGGCGCACTCCGGGCCGGGCCGGGCCGGGCCGCGGGGCCGGAGCTGAGCCGGAGCTGGAGCCCGGGCGGGCGGCTCAGGGAGCCGCGCGCAGGGCGGGGCGGGGGGCGGCCGCCTGTACTCACCGGCGCCGGGGCTGTGCATCCAGGGGCCGGGGCCCTCAGAGTGGGGGGCTCATGGCGGGGCCGGGGGCTGGGGCGCCGGCCTCACATCCCCCCAGTCGCCGGAGGCTGCAGAGCGACTGCCAGACGGCGAGAGGAAGGGAGGGGGCCGGGAGGGGGAGGGCCCTGGCAGCCCGGCCGGCCGGGTAGGATGACAATGGAAGGAAATGCTTTATCTGAGTCTGAGAGCGGGCCAAGGGGGAGGGGAGGAGGGGCAGGCGCTCGGGCCCTGGGACACACCACCCTGGCAGACGCCGCACGGCGCGGCGCCGCAGCGGGCCGCAGACCCGGAGCGCGGCCGGGTCCCCGGGACGCCGAGCCGAACCCGGAACGCGGGACGCTGAGCGGCCGGCGCCTAGCCGCCAAGCCACAACCGCCGCGCGGCGCTCGGACCGCGCACAATTCCCGGAAACCCAGATACCTGAGCGCACGCACCCTCGCAGACACAACGTACATGGGCGTGCATCCATGTTTACAAAGGAGCAGAATTATTTACACAGACACACACTTCGCGAAAGGACCCCAGTGCACACGCCTACGTACACACAGTTCACGAGCAAATAGCCACACGGAGGGGCTGCCGGGCACGCCTGGAGTTCCATGCACGGTCTCATGCGAGGATCCCAGACGGACAGACGGACACACACACACACACACACACACACACACACGTAACTCGCCCAGGAAAGCTCCAGGATCTGATTTGACTGACTGCCCAGCCCTCCCCCACTGGCAAACACCCCCCCTACCCCCGCCTGCCGAGGGGAACTGAAGGGTCCAGCCTGTTCCTATTAAAAGAAAAAGTGGATGGGGGTGGTGCGGATATTTTGAAAGTTTTCTTTTTTTAAGGAAATTTCTCAGGGGATTTCCTTCCCTTCTTTCCTCTTCCTCTCTTCCTCCCATTCCTCTGCCTCCACAACCCACCCCTTTCTTTCCCCCTCCCGGTCCCTATGAGTCAAACTTCAGCAATGTGCCCAGTGTCCCCCAGTGCATTACAGCGGATCACAGAAATGTTCCAGTCTGTGAATCGGAATGCAGCCGCCTCCAACCCTCCCTCAGCTAATAAACTCAGTTCAGGGATGGCTTTGCACGCCCCCCCCCCCTTAGGCTGGAGAGAAGGTCAGATTCAGGGGTCAGGGGGTGAGGACCTCGCCATTGTGCTTCCTGGCCTAGCCTACAGCAGGGGTCAGCCTCCCTGCAGTCTGCTGAGTCCTGAAAGCTCCCAGAACAGGGAGAGGGCTCTGACCCAGGACCACTGGGCTTGCCTATAATGTGAGGTCCACTGGAAATCAGGGAATTGCTTCCCACCATGTCTAGTCTACTCAATTCTAGGAACCCCCACAGTCTGTACAGAGGGAAATTGAGGCAGATCCAGATTAGAAGCAAGAGTCTACAGGGTCTTAGAAGGGCTTGACCATGCTAAAGATGAACTTCTGGCTACAGATTTCCTGTTCTCCATCACAGCTCACGCCTCACTGTCCATTGCTACCTGTAGTACTTAGCATGTGGTTTCCTATTTTATTCCTTTCCTGTGCCAGATCTCATTTGGCAGGTAGATGAAGCCACTTTGTATATGTTAGTTTATCCTCCAAACTCCTCTTCTAATCTCCAAGCCCTACACACACACACACACACACACACACACACACACACACACATCCCTGCCCAATGCCTCTTGGTACTTACTGCTCAGTGATGCTTGTTGCTTTTGTTACTACTGTTACTTCAGCCAAACTGGACTGCTAGCTGTTTCCCATCACGTCCTGTCCCGTACTTTCCTACCCCTTTGCCTGGCTCATCTTGTTCCCTTCAAAATGAACACCCTCCAAGTTCCTTCCCACAGCTAGAGGGATTCTTTCTTTCCTGTAAAGGACTATGCTGTGCTTTTCTCTTTATTGACTTTCACCCACCTGGTCTATTCGTCTTGCTCTCTTCCTTTGTCCTCTGCAGCATTCAAGAATGAATGCCCAGCCTGAAGGTTCCAGCTGCTATCTAGCTACTGCCTTAATCATGGTTAAATTTCTTGCAGTGTATTGCATAAAATTCAGACTGAGTTCAGTTGGGATAGAGTGCATGGCCTTCAAGGACTACCCTCCAGCTGGACACCTCAGTATACCCTTCTGCCCCATGACTACTCGTGTGACTCTGCAAAACACCTACTCTTCCAGCCCGGATGTCTTGTCCTTAGCCCTCACTTTCAAGCCAAACTCGTCCTCCTTCCAAATCCCTCCCGAGGCTCTAAAAAAATTACTGTTACTGCACACTCCAGTCCTCCTGCTGTCTCCATCCTGTAGCCCCACAATTCACCCCCACTCCCCAGCCCCACTTCCAGCTTTGCTTGTAGTTATTTGTGTTCCAAAGTAGGCCTTTGCTCATGTCTAACTGTGCATCATGCACATATTTGTTTGCCTTTTCTTCTTAACCTGATTATTAACTTCTAAATAATCCAAACAGAGATGTCTGACTGTCTGTCTATCCCCATAGTACCCAACATGTGCCTTACTACACACATCAGGACGCACCGTCCTCAAAATATAGGCATAGGGGAAGACAGCACATATGACCTGCATCTGGGATGCTGGATCATGCCCATCCATTGCCTGCCAGTTTGACTTATCACTCTACCAGCTCCTGCCCTATGGTGGAGTCCTAAGCCAGTTTCTAAATCATATGTTCCTTGTGGGAATATGTTAGAGAACCTCCAGGAACCCTTAGAGACATGAGACAGAAAAATGCAAGCAACCTGTTTCCCTTCTCCCCTGGTTACCAAGGGAAACTTAAGAAAGTTTCCAAAGTCTGGATCTCTTGGTCTTTTTAGCTAAACATCTGGCATACGGACTGGGCCAAGAGAGCATACCTAGGCTTCCTCTAGTCTCCTGGAAGTCTCTAACCAATGAAAATTTTCTCTTTAGGGCTCTGAGCCTCCTTGACCTTATCTTTCTTTCCTTAGTCTTTTGCCAATTGTTTACCATGTAACAGCTTATGCTAGCTCCTGGACAAACATTAGATCATTTTTTCTTAACAATAATCTTTGTTATCCTCATGAATAAAGTATAGCCCATAAAGATGAAGAAACCTGATCAAAGTTGCACAATGAGCAACTTACAAGGGCCATTCATTCAGTCCTTGAATATCATTGGTTCATTAAATTCATTCATTCAATGAATATTTATTCTTGCTGATCTCACTGCCTACTTTGTGCCAGGATTCAAAGTTCCAGAAAGTCATCAGGTCTAAAGCTCAGAACTCTGCGACCACTCCTGTTCTAACCTTTTAGATGTGATGGCTGCAGTCCCACAAGCCCTCTTGAAGGCTGTGCTTCTTCTAACACACTCCATTTGAAGTCTCAGAATGTGTTGTTCCCCAAGGCCTCTGCGAGGTCAGAGTAGACAGCTGTTGCATAGGATTGAGTCAGGCCTTGTTCTCCAGTTCTGGACCTGGGATCAAATCCCAATACATAGAGTTTTGGACTCACATATTAGTAGATAAGGTCAGGTCTCCAACTGCAAATAAAGAGTTTCATGGATCCAGACATAAGAAGTAGAAGGAAGGAAGTGGAGGAGAAAGGGAGGGGTGGGGAGAGGAAGGAAAAATAATTTAGAATTTGTTGAGTGTCTCTTATATATCATGTGCTGTTCAAGGCCTTTTCACTTATATGTTGTTATTATCCCAATTGTTTTAGTGAGCAAACTAAAGTTCAGAAAGACAAAATGATTTGCTCAAGGTCACAGAGCCAGTAAGTGACTTGATCCCAAGTGTGTCTGACTCAGGGCCCATATAATTTCTCCTACCAGAATAAAACAATGGAGAAGCTGTGCCAGGATCTCCTGCTCAAGTGTAGCCTGGTTTCTTGAAGTCCCTGTTGTTCTATGCTTGTCATCATAGACGCCAAGTTTCCTGCTTTGTTGACCCCAGCCATGTGGCCTCATCATCGTGCTTCTGTTGCCTTGCATAGATAGGATCAAGGAGCTGTATAAGTGTTCTGTGTATGCTTGGGGATGTGGCTTTGGGGTGCATAAGGCGGACCCCCTTTCAGTATTTCAAGGGTCTGAGACAAGGGTTGCACATGCTTCTGGGCCATAATTGAATGGATACTCCAAGAAAATGCTGATGCATGGCTACCAGTCCAGATGACACAGGTTGGCCGGGGAGATGACCGTGAGGACTGAGGCAGTTGGAGAACTAAGCAGGTCCCTTCCCCCCGTCCCCTCACCTCCCTCCAGAGTCAACAAAGGTGATGCGGTTTCCCCTGTGGTCTGTTGCCCTAGACACCTGCAGTTCTCAGTAGATGTATATGTATCTATATGCCAACAGTGTGGTGTGGGGACACAAGGAGAGAGGACTGGGACAGGATGAGGAGGGGCATGAAGCCAAAGATAGAGTCCCCTCACCCCAAGATGGAGAAGGTACAACAAATGAGAAAAGATGGCAAAGGATCCCACCTTCACAACTCCATCACATATGAGGAACATAAAAAGAGAGGTGGAAGAGAAGCATTGTGGGTACTGGGCCTAAAGTCAAAGAACTTGAGTTCTAGGCCCGTCCTGCCAAATTTCATGGACTTCACCTTTTTCTTTTCCTTTTTGCCAAAGCTAGGCGTTAAATCCAGGGTCTTCGTGACTAAAGTACATCTCCAGCCCCTTCTTCATTTTGAGATAGGGTCTCCCTAAGTTGCTCAGGCTATGCTTAAACTCTTGATCCTCTGTCCTCAGCTTCCGGTGTGTTGGGGTTGCAGGTGTGCACCACCATGCCTGACTCGGGATCGTAGTTTTCTAGGTCTCCATTTTATAATAGAAATATTTTGGCTGTTCTGAAGTCATACAAATGAAATATGCAAAAGTTTTGTTTTGTTTTGTTTTACTTTGTTTTGTTTTTAACATCCCTTTATCTCTTTAAAAGTATCACTGTGAGTTTTACAATCATTGTCCTGATAGCATATGAAATATCATTTCTCACTCTTAATCCTAAACAGGCAACACATACACACACACATACACACACACACACACACACACACACACACACACACCACACATACACATGTATGTGAATGCTAAAGATAAAAACAAAAATATGGCTCTTGCCCTCAAACTGACCATAATGTGTGGAGGAAACGAAAGCCTTGTACAAAGCCAATTATTTAAGAAAAGCCTCACA